AATTCCCACACAAATTTCGAAAGCTCAGTGAAAATGGCCACACAAATTTCGAAAGCTCAGTGAAGTTGGCCACACAAATTTCGAAAGCTCAGTGAAGTTGGCCACACAAATTTCGAAAGCTCAGTGAAGTTGGCCACACAAATTTCGAAAGCTCAGTGAAGTTGGCCACACAAATTTCGAAAGCTCAGTGAAGTTGGCCACACAAATTTCGAAAGCTCAGTGAAGTTGGCCACACAAATTTCGAAAGCTCAGTAAAGTTGGCCTTACTTTCATAAACAAAGGAGTTTTTATGCTTATACTACCTTTCTTTGAAAGTTTTCTCAGTAAGCTCAATGTAATAATATCCTTCTTCTTCTTGGTAAGTTTTTGAATTGCAAATATAAATAAGATTTTTAGTAGGCATTTTCCATTGAGAGGGCATAAGGTGATTTGTTGACAATTGCATAATTGATTGGCATTTTCTTGAGAATTAAATGATATCTTTTTATAATGAGAAGTAATAATACTCTTGATGTTTGGAAGGCAGCTATAACTAACCTTTAAGTTTTTTCGATTAAAAAGTTTGTGAAATTTGTGGTCTATAGGGAAAATTACAATGATAAGAATCTTAGAAAAAGAATCTTTAATAGGATTAGTCTTAGTATTTTATTAGTTAGTATTTTATATATATATTATTTAAATTATAAAAGTTATAAATATTATAATAATATAGTATTTACTACAAATATTAAGTGAAATTAATAACTATATTATAATTAATATAACTAATTATAATATATATTTATAATATAAACTATATTATTAATTTTCTAATTATTCAAAATGTTAAGAAACACAAAATCAAATTGTATTTGAGAGATCATTTAAGTTTATAATATATATAAAATCTTAGCTATAAAATCTTCTGGATTGATTAAAGATTCATTCGGTTCTCACTGCCTTTAAAATTAACCGAGTCAAATAAATTATCCTCATTTATTTCAATATTGTTTGAAAGCATTTTGAGAAACATTAATGTTGAAATCCAACAAATTTAGGGTGGAATGTTTGAAGCTAACTTGAGTGAAGTTCGACTTGAACTTTGAAGTATGACAAGTTAGACTTCAAAAAAAACTTGAGCAAATACGTGAACGAAACTTGAAAGTTTCAAGATCGCGGCTTGAGAAAGTCAAACTTGATAAACTTAAAAGGCGTTAATTTGAAGACGCAATAGGAAAAAAAACTTTGAAAACAATACCGGCAGAGTATTTGAAAAGGAAAAACCTTTTAAATGAAGAAAAATATTATATCTTTAAATAATATTTCAAAAATAAATTAAAAAGTGTTACAAAAATAATAAACTTATTTTTTGTATTTTTGTTAAAACTTGGTAATTTATAAACAAACACTGGATTAAAATGAACATGCAAGTGCTGCCTTCTATTTAGTCCAAGTTTCTAACTACGACGTAACAGCTGGTTAACATCCAAATGGCATATATGCTATGCGGTTATCAGCAAAGCATATATGTCGAATACGAAGTTTTTATTATTTAATTTTCTTGTTAAAAATTTTTATTAAAAAAAAAAATTTTACTCTTACAAGGCTGCAAGCAAACACTAATTACGTTTGGAGTTAACATAAAATTAATTAAAAAATATGACAACAGTTTTCAATACAAGGACGAATATAATATTTATAGAGATAGAAAACAAAATCAGTAGAAGAAAATGGTTAATACAAGTTAGGTTTCATCTAATGTACGACAGAATCTATTTTTGTTACAACGGTTAACAAGTCAGCAATAAATTGATAGGGTCAAACCTATATAGAGATCAAAGGCGGATGCAGCATTTTATGGTCTTTGAGATAGCTAACCTCCGGACACGAAGCAAGCTTCAAACAATTATATATTTTAATTTAAACCAAATAAAGATGTATGTAATATATATATATATATATATATATATATATATATATATATATATATATATATATATATATATATATATATATATATATATATATATATATATATATATATATATATATATATATATATATCAATATTATTATATAACAAATGACCAAATGTGCCTCAGAGGTTCATATTTGAAGTAAGATCTTATGATATCGACTCTAGTTTTCAACTTAGACTTTGAGTTTAAATTCACTCCTTGGCAAAAAGCGAACTTGAACTTGACTTGAAAGACTTTGCATTTGCTTAAGACAAATTTTAGACTTAAAGTATGGCTTCAAATTTCAAGTTTTCTTCTTGCATTCCACCCTTAGAAACTGGTTAAAAATAAAAAGTCATTTAGCAAGTAAATATAAGAATTTTATTCTTTAAAAACACGCTTTTCTAAATTTTTTTCAGCTGAAATAGAAACGACCTTTACGTCATTTTTTATGTTGCAAAATTTTCAGGAGTCTGCAATTTTTAAAATTTGCAAGACCTCCTTTTGGAGCATACTAAAGATCGCTAACCACATTAAGCAACATTTTAAACATCATAATAAACCTCATATATTTCAGGGTGTAAATGTTGCGGTACGTCTGTGTTTTTTTATAAATAAAATCAGTTACTTAAAACTTAAACATTGAAAACTAAACTAAATTAAAAAAACATAATTCACGTGATTATAAAAACAAAGATTTTGACTAAGATTTTACTAAGGATTTTGGGAACGTCCAAAAAATGTTATGAGTTAAAGAAATTAATATCTTCCTTTTTTAATAAAAAAATTTTTAAATTTAAAATCGTTTCTTAAAGTTTAATAAAATATTAATGGGGACGTCCATTGATCCTTTTAAATAAATATTTTATACTTATTATTACTTTAACCTCCAAATAAAAAAGATATTCTTACTTAAACTTAAATTATTTTATTGAATCTAAACAAGTAAACTTTTATTACTCGAAACTAAAATCCGGGTTTCTTAATAAATGACATCTTTCAAGAGGCCACCAGGAATTTTATCTAGAACCATATAAATTACTTGTACCTAGAACCATATGTGCGTTTCTCTGATGAAGAATTTGTTTGATAACAAAGTGATTTGATTGATCCAGAATTTTTTTTTTTCTTGCGGTTTTTTTGGCATTAACTTTTTACGCTTAGACTAATTTGTCAATTTTTCTAAAAACTATTTGTCAATTTTTTTATTTAATTATTTTAACCGAGTTACGCGAGATAAACCTAAAACTAAAACTTAAACAAAAACTTCTTAATATTGACAATGAAATAAGTTATTTCTAAATATCAAAAATAATGTTATATATTATATTAATTATTAACTGACTGGTTTGCTTTTTCAGTTCTTCAATCTATAGTTGTATTTAACTATAAATATCAATCTATAGTTGTATTTAACTATATTTAACTATAAATAGTTTTAAGTTTAAATGTTTTAAAACTAAATTTAAAAAAATAAAAAATTTACTATTTACCCAATACGACATTTTCTTTTGGTCGTCTCGAGGTTTTTATATTTTGCTTTTCTCTCTCTTTTTTTTATTTTTTTATTTTTTATTTTAAAACTTGGTTTTTGAATTTGTATTTTGGTATTTGTTTCTCTCTTTTTGTTATTGTCTATTTAAATAACAATTTAATGTTTTTTTTTTAAAAAAAGTATAAATATATGTAGTTGTGTGTGTGTGGTTGTGTATATATGTGTGTGTGTGTGTGTGTGTGTGTGTGTGTGTGTGTGTGTGTGTATGTATATAGGTATGTATATATGCATGTGTGTGTGTATATTTGTGTGTGTATATGTATATGTGTGTGTGTATAGGTGTAAAACATGTATGTATATGTATTAAAATTTTATATAATATAATGTAAAACACGGTTTTAACTACGGGGCTTAGTGATAGGACTACTGTTGTCTTCTTTTTGCTCTTGCCAAGTAAATTCAATTTATACGATTCATTATTGTAACAATTAAACAATTTAAACGGCAAACATATATATATATATATATATATATATATATATATATATATATATATATATATATATATATATATATATATATATATATATATATATATATATATAACAATATTCTTAAAATGTTTTTTTAACAACAACAAAAAAAGTTCTGACTTGCGCCGTTGTTTGTAACAAAGCAAAAAAATAATAATAAAAAAAAAAACAAAAAAAAAAAAACAATAAAATAAAAAGCAACAACAAAAAAACTTAATTAAAAACTTAAATATAAAAAAAGCATGTAAACAAAACAACGTTTATAATGTTTTTGTATGTGTATACATTTATTTGTATACACATACAAATTAAATGTACGTTTAATTCATATACGTTAGCATTAATAAAACATACATTTTATTTATGTGGAATAAAATTTTTCATTAATAAATTTTGAAGAGTCCAGGGGAAAAAACGACATAGTCACATTTTAAAAGTTTTGAGAAATTATATATTGATCATTTAGATTATATATTAAAGTATATATAGATCATTTAGTCTTCATAAAAAACTAAGAAACTTAAAAAGTAGAAAAAAAAACATTTCTAGATTAATTTATCTTAAGTTAACATTTTTTATAAACTTTTTGTAATTTTTATTAAAAGTTTTTTTTATTTATCTTTATACAAAGACTTTTATAAAAAATAAATATATACTTTCTCAAAACTTTTTAAATGTGACTATGCCGTTTTTTCCCCTGGACTCTTCATTTATTATATCATTATTATTTATTTATGTGGAATGAAATGCAATTATTTAAAAAAAATTACATTTCATTCCCTTAAAAAAGTTTATAGAAAAAAGTTATGAATAGTTATTACAATTATATTATAACAGTTATATTATTACAATCATATTATTACAATATAGTTATTACAATAATTCACACTAGATTATTAAAATTTACTCTCGAATAATATAATTATCAAAAATTTGTGATTTGTTAAGTAATTGTTTAAACACGACGGAACCTCAAGAAAATAATAAGTTAAATAAAAACGCGCATACGTAATAACCACAACGAACGAGTGTAAATGGATCGTTCTCGAAATGTTTAGAATAGCAAAATATTTTGTGACGTCAACTCTAAAAAGACATAAATTTGAAATTTTGTGATGTTAGCCATAAAGCGCAAGCAACGTAACTAATAAAGCTACTAAAAAAGAAGTAAGAAAGCTACTTAAAAAGGTAAAGATCGTTTTTCACAATTTAAATATTGCTTTGATTTGTTATAATTTTGCAATGTCTTGGATTAAGCATAACTTTTTTTCTCACAATAATTTAGCGCGTTCTGTTGCGTGTTTAATTATAGTGTATTTATAACTTGTTTTTAGTTTGATAAAGTTGCTATTTAACTATGATTTTTTTTTTTTTAAAGTCAAAAAATGTCTTTGTGGCACATTCCTGTTCACAAATATTTTGAAACCGATCCATTCATGGATGACATAATGGAGATAACTTTTCCTCCTTTAAGATATTTTCCATTATTTAATGTTGGAACAAAGGCTGTTTCAAAAAAAAAGACTCCGAAAGAAAACGGTTTTGTTGTAAATCTTGATGTCAAGCATTACAAACCAGAGGAAGTTACTCTTAAAGTAGAAGGTAATTTTGTAAATCTAAAACTAATAAATGACAAGTTCGTAGCTTCTCATACTTTATATTGTAAGTTTTTCGCTATCGATCTCATTAGTTGTCCGTAGTACTTATGAATTTAAGAGCTTCGCTTTTGACGTCTTGTTTGAAATTTTTAAAAAGATAACTAGCTATTTATAGCCGCTATTAAAGAATGCGAAACTAAAGATTGAAGCCTAGTTAATCGTGATTGGTAGCAATAAATTGTTACGGTTATCCCTTAAACGCGGTCTTGTTTATCCGTTTATGGATATTGTATTTTTATTTAAATTCGTAGACTTGCTATGGAATGCGATAAAATTATTTTTAGTTTCTGTTCGTAAATGCTGTTTCCCGTTGTTTAGGTCAAGTTCTTGAAGTCAGTGGGAAGCATCGTAACGAAAATGAAAATGGATTCGAGTCTAGTGAGTTCCACAGAAAGTACACTATTCCCGATGATGTAGATGTGACAGCACTTACGTCAAACATCAGTCAAGACGGTGTTTTGCATATAGAAGCTCCTAAAAAGCTACCTGCAACTTCTGGAGAATCAACAAAAGAGACTTTCAAATGCACTTTAGATGTACAAGGTTTCAAGCCAGAAGAAATTTCGATTCAAGTAAAGGGTAGAGATTTAGTCGTTCATGGTGAAACAAAAACTGAAAACAGCGGTGAACACGGTTCAAGTTTCCACCACAAGCAGTTTACAAAACACGTAGCATTGCCAGATGATGTAGATCCATCCGAATTAAGTTCTCGCTATACGAAAGACTCTAAATTAGCAATCGAAGCTCCGCGAAAGCAACTACAAGCTCCACTCAAACTTGAAATCAAAATGGAAGAATGAAGTGGTGTCAATCGTTTGTAGCCGTGTTTGTAGTTATTTGTAAAAGTTTGTGTTTCTAAGCGTTAATATTTACGCTGAATTTTATACAATTTAAATGCTCTACATCTTAAATGTTTATTTTGTTTGTTTTTAATTTTTGTATTAATAGTTTATTTAAAAAAAAAAGAAAAGAAAAACTTATTTATTAAAGTTCTTGTTTTATTTTTCGAAAAGAAAACGTTCTTAAAGAGTAATAGTTTAGTTCGAGCAAAACACTTGAAACCGTGAAAAATTATTGGGTTAGTGTATACTCTATTTGTGATGATAAACAATAAAGAAAATTGTTAAAGTATTTTTTTTAATATATTACTTTTTTTTTTTATCATGATAATTCCACTCTAATTAAATCCGGCCTTGTCATCGTGTATATTGAACTTGAAGAAACCATATTAAAAGTAGGCGGCAGTGGCGCAGTGGTTAGAGCGCTTGCTTTATAAGCTTGAGTTCCAGGTTTAAAACGAGTTTTAGACATGTTTTGTGTCACGTTAAGGAAGGAGATGTGAATTTCCTGATTAAATGCACTTCCGCGGTGTTCTGTGACAAAGCCGTTAGGACTTCTTGAGGCACCTAAATAACAAATTAAAAAAAAAAAAAGCAAAAAAAAACTAAATGTAAAACTTAGCATTCTAGTAATTGCGGGGATATTGGATACTGCGGAAATATTGTACAAGTATCGCAAATCATACAAACAATTTATATATCCTAAGCTCTTGCTGAAAAAGTGGCAGGAGAACTATACTTCGTTCACATCGGTGTACAGCTTTCATTCCTACGCCTAAATGTGGACTTTTTTCGGCTCAGTTGTTGACTTTTTCTTACTCCACGCTAAATGGGTTTAAAACTTAGAGGCTGTAGGTTGTACTTATACGTTAATAAGTTCCTATAAGTTTGTTCAAAAGTTCAAATAAGACTTACAAAAGACGTCTTCTTTACGTCCAGTGTTCATTTGGTAGATTATCTTCACTAAGTTTTATATATATATATATATATATATATATATATATATATAGATATATATATATATATATATATATATATATATATATATATATATATATATATATATATATATATATATATATATATATATAAAAAACTTAGTGAAGATAATCTACCAAGTGAGCACTGGACGTAAAGAAGATATATATAAAATATATATATATATATATATATATATATATATATATATATATATATATATATATATATATATATATATATATATATATATATATATATATATATATATATAAAACTTAGTGAAGATAATCTACCAAGTGAGCACTGGACGTAAAGAAGACGTCTTTTGTAAGTCTTATTTGAACTTTTGAACAAACTTATAGGAACTTATTAACGTATAAGTACAACCTACAGCCTCTAAGTTTTAAACCCATTTAGCGTGGAGTAAGAAAAAGTCAACAACTGAGCCGAAAAAAGTCCACATTTAGGCGTAGGAATGAAAGCTGTACACCGATGTGAACGAAGTATAGTTCTCCTGCCACTTTTTCAGCAAGAGCTTAGGATATATAAATTGTTCGTATGATTTGCGATACTTGTACAATATTTCCGCAGTATCCAATATCCCCGCAATTACTAGAATGCTAAGTTTTACATTTAGTTTTTTTTTGCTTTTTTTTTTTTTAATTTGTTATTTAGGTGCCTCAAGAAGTCCTAACGGCTTTGTCACAGAACACCGCGGAAGTGCATTTAATCAGGAAATTCACATCTCCTTCCTTAACGTGACACAAAACATGTCTAAAACTCGTTTTAAACCTGGAACTCAAGCTTATAAAGCAAGCGCTCTAACCACTGCGCCACTGCCGCCTACTTTTAATATGGTTTCTTCAAGTTCAATATACACGATGACAAGGCCGGATTTAATTAGAGTGGAATTATCATGATAAAAAAAAAAAGTAATATATTAAAAAAAATACTTTAACAATTTTCTTTATTGTTTATCATCACAAATAGAGTATACACTAACCCAATAATTTTTCACGGTTTCAAGTGTTTTGCTCGAACTAAACTATTACTCTTTAAGAACGTTTTCTTTTCGAAAAATAAAACAAGAACTTTAATAAATAAGTTTTTCTTTTCTTTTTTTTTTAAATAAACTATTAATACAAAAATTAAAAACAAACAAAATAAACATTTAAGATGTAGAGCATTTAAATTGTATAAAATTCAGCGTAAATATTAACGCTTAGAAACACAAACTTTTACAAATAACTACAAACACGGCTACAAACGATTGACACCACTTCATTCTTCCATTTTGATTTCAAGTTTGAGTGGAGCTTGTAGTTGCTTTCGCGGAGCTTCGATTGCTAATTTAGAGTCTTTCGTATAGCGAGAACTTAATTCGGATGGATCTACATCATCTGGCAATGCTACGTGTTTTGTAAACTGCTTGTGGTGGAAACTTGAACCGTGTTCACCGCTGTTTTCAGTTTTTGTTTCACCATGAACGACTAAATCTCTACCCTTTACTTGAATCGAAATTTCTTCTGGCTTGAAACCTTGTACATCTAAAGTGCATTTGAAAGTCTCTTTTGTTGATTCTCCAGAAGTTGCAGGTAGCTTTTTAGGAGCTTCTATATGCAAAACACCGTCTTGACTGATGTTTGACGTAAGTGCTGTCACATCTACATCATCGGGAATAGTGTACTTTCTGTGGAACTCACTAGACTCGAATCCATTTTCATTTTCGTTACGATGCTTCCCACTGACTTCAAGAACTTGACCTAAACAACGGGAAACAGCATTTACGAACAGAAACTAAAAATAATTTTATCGCATTCCATAGCAAGTCTACGAATTTAAATAAAAATACAATATCCATAAACGGATAAACAAGACCGCGTTTAAGGGATAACCGTAACAATTTATTGCTACCAATCACGATTAACTAGGCTTCAATCTTTAGTTTCGCATTCTTTAATAGCGGCTATAAATAGCTAGTTATCTTTTTAAAAATTTCAAACAAGACGTCAAAAGCGAAGCTCTTAAATTCATAAGTACTACGGACAACTAATGAGATCGATAGCGAAAAACTTACAATATAAAGTATGAGAAGCTACGAACTTGTCATTTATTAGTTTTAGATTTACAAAATTACCTTCTACTTTAAGAGTAACTTCCTCTGGTTTGTAATGCTTGACATCAAGATTTACAACAAAACCGTTTTCTTTCGGAGTCTTTTTTTTTGAAACAGCCTTTGTTCCAACATTAAATAATGGAAAATATCTTAAAGGAGGAAAAGTTATCTCCATTATGTCATCCATGAATGGATCGGTTTCAAAATATTTGTGAACAGGAATGTGCCACAAAGACATTTTTTGACTTTAAAAAAAAAAAAATCATAGTTAAATAGCAACTTTATCAAACTAAAAACAAGTTATAAATACACTATAATTAAACACGCAACAGAACGCGCTAAATTATTGTGAGAAAAAAAGTTATGCTTAATCCAAGACATTGCAAAATTATAACAAATCAAAGCAATATTTAAATTGTGAAAAACGATCTTTACCTTTTTAAGTAGCTTTCTTACTTCTTTTTTAGTAGCTTTATTAGTTACGTTGCTTGCGCTTTATGGCTAACATCACAAAATTTCAAATTTATGTCTTTTTAGAGTTGACGTCACAAAATATTTTGCTATTCTAAACATTTCGAGAACGATCCATTTACACTCGTTCGTTGTGGTTATTACGTATGCGCGTTTTTATTTAACTTATTATTTTCTTGAGGTTCCGTCGTGTTTAAACAATTACTTAACAAATCACAAATTTTTGATAATTATATTATTCGAGAGTAAATTTTAATAATCTAGTGTGAATTATTGTAATAACTATATTGTAATAATATGATTGTAATAATATAACTGTTATAATATAATTGTAATAACTATTCATAACTTTTTTCTATAAACTTTTTTAAGGGAATGAAATGTAATTTTTTTTAAATAATTGCATTTCATTCCACATAAATAAATAATAATGATATAATAAATGAAGAGTCCAGGGGAAAAAACGGCATAGTCACATTTAAAAAGTTTTGAGAAAGTATATATTTATTTTTTATAAAAGTCTTTGTATAAAGATAAATAAAAAAAACTTTTAATAAAAATTACAAAAAGTTTATAAAAAATGTTAACTTAAGATAAATTAATCTAGAAATGTTTTTTTTTCTACTTTTTAAGTTTCTTAGTTTTTTATGAAGACTAAATGATCTATATATACTTTAATATATAATCTAAATGATCAATATATAATTTCTCAAAACTTTTAAAATGTGACTATGTCGTTTTTTCCCCTGGACTCTTCAAAATTTATTAATGAAAAATTTTATTCCACATAAATAAAATGTATGTTTTATTAATGCTAACGTATATGAATTAAACGTACATTTAATTTGTATGTGTATACAAATAAATGTATACACATACAAAAACATTATAAACGTTGTTTTGTTTACATGCTTTTTTTATATTTAAGTTTTTAATTAAGTTTTTTTGTTGTTGCTTTTTATTTTATTGTTTTTTTTTTTTTGTTTTTTTTTTTATTATTATTTTTTTGCTTTGTTACAAACAACGGCGCAAGTCAGAACTTTTTTTGTTGTTGTTAAAAAAACATTTTAAGAATATTGTTAGGAAGTTGAAGAAAAGATTTTCATTACGTTTTTATCCTTAGTAAGTATTTTTTTAGCATACAACGCAACTCCTTAATGTTTTCCTAATTTATTGAAGTAGAAAGTTAACCTTTTAAAATACAATTAAGTTCATTATAACCTTGGTACTTTAAAACAGACCAGACTAATGTATTTTAATGCAGTGTTTTAACTTTTCACCGTTAAAATGTTGGGACGTATCGAGTTAGTCAATTAGTTGACTTAGTTGATACGTTGGTAGTCGACTTTTATACATAAATTACAATAAGGGGTCGTCCATAAATTACGTCACGCAATTTTTGACCGTTTTCGAACTCCCCCCCCCCCCTCATTCGTCACCGTAACACTTAAGAAGCGAGTTTTGAATGAGTCATCACAAAACCACCAACCCCCTCCCCCCTTATAGCGTGACGTAATTTATGGACAACCCCTAACTCAACGTGTCATTTTGAAAAGAACGCAAGTCCAAAACTTTCAACAGTTAGTATATAAATTTAAACTAAAAGTTTCTGTATGATTAATGTTATTTTTATAAAAAATAAAACATACATAAGTTATGTACGTTTATTATTCATATACTCCTATGTTTAATTTCTCTAGCAGCGTTTACATTATGTTAATAAAAAGCATGTTTTTATTGATTTTAAAAAGTTTTAATAAATGGGTTTGTGTCCTTTGTGGTCGTCCATAAATTACGTCAGGCAATTTTTGACTGTTTTTGAACCCCCATCTTTGTTACAAAATTGTAACACTTTAGTAGCAAATTTTGTATGAATCGTCACAAAATCACATATTCCCTCCCCCTGCCCCTCCCCCCTTATTAGTGAAAAACTACTGCAACTTTTACACAAGTGTGTGAAAAATTGCAGTAGTTAAGACAT